GATTTTATATCAATTTCCTAATAACAAGTACACAAAAAATTCATTAGAGCCCCTGTGTGTGTCACTTTCAAGTATTTCTTTTCTTGCTATTTAAACCGAAATTGTATGGCTACATTAACATCTTACAGAAAAAATATATGCAAAAAAAAAAAAAGCAGTAGAACAATAAGACAGTCTTTACAGAGCTCCATAGTTTCTGGATAGCTCATTTTTTAAACTCAACACAAAGTGTTCAAACAACTCTGTAAATTTGAAAACTGCAGATTTTGAGAATCTATAATCTTAGGGAGAAAACTTTCCTTTTAGGAGGAGGAAGGAAACATGGATGTCAAACAAAAACATACACACCTCGACTGTAGTCTTGCTCATACAAATTTATATATTTCAACAGTTACTAGTAGTTACAACTGTTACTAGTTTTCACAAATAAAGCCTTAATTAAACTATGCACACCTTGTTTTACATACAGAGCAATGATACAACCCACCAGGTGAGACTGTGCAGGTAGAGAAGCTGCAGTTAGCAGCAGCCTGAAGCCAGAGTCTCTTAAACGTATCCAGAAGGTCCAGGAGGAGTTTATATTATTATTAATTCAATTTGAATAGTGCGTTTAGCTAATCTCTCAGCTGACGGGATGGCCAGGGACATGTCTGCTCGCTTGAGCTTCATTCTAACTCCAGCAGAAGCGGTGGGTCGAGTGGGTGGAGTTTAAACACAATCTCTATGGGTTTTTCTTATCAGCTGGATCACACACCGGCTGAMCGGTGAGGAGCAGAGCCAGCTGCACCAAGCTGAGTTATTTTCTCTCTCTCTCTCTCGGTTTTAACTAACATACTGTATATGGTCGGTCAGACAATTTTTGGCTTGTTGTGGGAAACGTTGGTTAATTTTTTTTTGCACACTTTGCTGCGTGCACTTGGAGACCTTTCTGCATTTTATCCGCAGCTTTTCAGCGTGTTTTGTCCAGTACTTCCTGATTCTCTCCAACTCTGCTCCGAGCCTCCGGACCAGCTCGAATGGCAATATTCATAACTTTGGTTGAAAGGGGAGGGGCTGGCCGGGCCGCCGAGGAGTGCTGAGAGATTTCATTGGATTAGCTCAATGTCTATCAAGAAAATCAACCAATGGGCCGTCGCGGTCGACAAAAAAATAATTATAATTTATTGTTTTGGTTCATGACAGGAGCTCCCGGCCCAAAATCACCGACGGCCCAGCTATGCCCGATGGCCAGGCCATCACTGGTTAACAAGATTAGACACATTACTTTTTTACATCTTTGCTAGTTAGTGGATAAATAAACCCAATCCTTTATTATTTTTATGCAGAAGTTGTACTGGTTTGCTTTCCACAATAAATCTTTGCCACCATAGAAAGAGCAAAGTCCGGGAGGAGACATCAGACCCAGCAGCAGAGACCACATGATGCAGGCTTTTCTCAGGTAAGGACAGATTATAACTTATTCCAATGAGAAACCAGGCAGGTATCAGGACAGAGTTTAACAGATATTTCAGAATTACTCTTATTCACACTCCAGGATATATATTTTTATTGTTTCTACTTTGGTCCAAAATAAATTTAGGAAAAAATTGTTATTTAGATAACAAAAAATGATTGATCATCTTAGTTCAAAAGCATAACGCAACTTAAAAGATTTGAAGAAAAAAAAAACATTTGTTTACTATTTATTATTTTCATATATTACCTAACTACTGCATTATTTGTGTTCTTAAAAGCAGCAGGTAAGATCATGCTGTTTTATTTATTTTTGATTAATTATGCACATCTGTGCGGACACATTTTAATAAAATGTGTTTCGTGCTGTGTTAATGTGTTAAGTGTTAATGCTATTCAAATAAATTATGTGGCCTTTTACCCTATTACATTTGTAATTTTAATCCATTTTGTGAACTAAGTAATCTTTTTTACAGGAATGGTGTTTGCCATTTAGCACTGGCTGTTATGATCCTGCTCCTGTCTGCCTTTATCTTATCTCAGTCCTAGTCTATCTTGATCCTGTTCCAGTCTGTCCCAGTCTTGTTTACTTTGTCCTGTTCCTGCTCATTGCCTCTGCCTCTCCCATCCTGTTCCTCAGTCTGCTCATTGCCTCTGCCCCTCCCGTCTCTGTTTCATCTAATCAAGTTCATCACTTCCACCTGTTTTCCCCAGTATATATCTCAGCTCCAGCCTCCAGTCCYTTGCCAGATTTTCATCAGCCTCGTCTATGATCTTCCAGCAATCTTGTTCCTTGTTCCTCTCTTGCCTTGTGTCCC